TGGACATGGACACCGCAGCCGACATGCAAGCTTACGCGGACCTGGAGAGTTTCATGGACCAGCGCGTCATTTACTATTTGAGCGATGGTACGGAGGAGGGAACCCCAGCTCCTGTACACACTTTGAATTTGGCGACCACGAACATGGCCCCTCTGACACCCGATTGGATTGATCAACTTGAGCTGTCCGATGGGTGTAAAGTTACAATCCAAGAAGACAACCTGACGGTAGACCGTCAACAAGTGCTATATACATTGCTTACACAAGATCGCGAGCAATACTTCCAAGAACGACTTGCTACTATGAATCAACTACGCTCGGGTATTACAGGTGGTAACCCGGGCGGAGAAGTACGTATCAATGCAGATGAGATCTCCGCTGGCGCCACCCCAACCCTCTCATAAAACAACCTGTATTTAATATGATATTAACCAAAAACGATATATCAATTTTGTCCATCAATGCTCGTGGACTTCTACAAAAAAACAAAAACACCAAAAACAACAAATCACAACTTATACGCTATCTCCGTGAGCAACAACCTCACATCATCACCCTACAAGAAACGCATGCTCATGACGACGACGTCCAGGAACGCCTTCATCAACAGTTTTGCGCCACACAATCATTCTGGACCAAAGACTGCGGCATTGTCTCTCTTTGTCCCGACATTCAGCTCACACGTATTAATATTCTCGACGACTCGCGCCATATACTCGTCCGGGTCGAACATAAACAAAACAGCTTCGCACCCTTCTACACTATCACCATATATGCACCATCATCAAGTCACACAGCTCGACGACGATTTTTTGCAACACTCTATAACTCACCAATTTTCAACAATCAACACCCGTATCGCCAAAGGCTGGTCCTCACTGGCGATTTCAACTACAGCTACAGACGAGCCGACTACCGGCCAAATGCACCAACTGACTGGCACACTCTATTACAAGAGGAATTCACCAATTGCCTCAATCCATCAGCCGATGAAGTCCCGTACCCTACTTTCAGGCGCGGCGACTCAACTATGTCAACGATTGACTACATTTTTGCTTCACCCGTATTTACTAATACGGTGAAGGCGAGGGAAGTTTCATATGTGGCATCCAGCTGGACGGATCATGCATTATTATCGACTACTCTTCATCTGGGTCCCTCTAGCACAGGAAAGGGTTGTTGGCGTGGAAACCCTCTCATCCTTGGCTATAAGGACTTCCGCAAACAACTCGCACGACGCATTACGCTTTTCTTCGAGGAGGTCGATAGCTCCAGTAGTCCCCAACACCAATGGGATCTACTCAAATCTGCACTCAAAAAACAAATGCAAAACTACAGCCGACAACTCATCAATCGCTCCACTGCGCACCTGGCTAGACTACAAGCAAGACGTAACCAATTCCTCCGCAGCAAACCCGATCAAGCAACACGTGCATGGATCCTACCAAGCCTCGAAAGACGCATTGAAGCCGCCCAAAAAGCTGTATGTGACACCCTTGCTCTCCGTGCGAACACCCGCTGGCGAGAACTTGGCGAGACCTCTGCTGGGTACTTGAAAAAGACAGTAGCACAGCGCACATCACAAATGCACATGCCACCGCTACACCATCCTCAAACTGGGCAACTCTGTGACACCATTGACACTATGCATGATGCCGCCGAAACCTTCTACAACAAACTCTACACACCAGAGCCGATCGACAATGCAGCAATCCACGAGTTACTCAACAGCATACCGACTCACATACAGCTTGATGATGAGACTCGAGACTGTCTCACAAGCAGCTTTACCATGGACGATCTAAAAGAGGGCGCGTCCCGTACCCCGAAGAGAAGTAGCCCCGGTCCTGATGGACTTCCTTATGGCATTTGGCACTTGGTTTTCAACCATCCAGCTGCCGAACGTCTGATCACTCATGTATATGATGATGCACTTACTCATGGTATTTTCCCCCAATCATGGACAGAAACCTGCATTCGTTTGCTTCCAAAAAAAGGCGATCTGGCCTCCCTCAACAATTGGCGGCCAATCTCTTTGATCAACTGTGATGCAAAAATCTTTACACGCATGCTCAACAAACGTATTGTCAACAACGCCAGTGATCTTATCAATCCGCAACAAACTGGTTTCATGCCGGAACGATTTATCGGGGAAAACGGCCTCACCACCAGACTAGTTATGGAAAATGCTCAACAGAACTCGTCCTCGGCCATTGCTTTATTTCTTGATCAATATAAGGCATACGACCGCATCCACCCGAATTACTTGACCACAGTACTACAGCATTTTGGATATCCGGATTCGCTCATCCACAGCATAACCGCTCTTTTTTTCAGCACAAAAATTCGTCTCAACATCAACGGCCATTTAAGCCAACCTATACAACAACAACGTGGTTTACGTCAAGGTGACCCATTGTCGCCGATCCTCTTCAACCTGGCTATGGAACCTCTCCTGCGTGCAATACAAGGAGATCGAGATTTTCAAGGCTACCAGTATCAATCGGTTTCTACAGGAATAGTATCAATTCCACCTCCTCTTCCACTTAAAGCTATCGCCTATGCTGACGATATCTGTGCTTTTATACATAACGAACAAGACTTTGCCAGGCTACAACACCACATGAAAACATATCAACTAGCCTCCAATGCCCTGTTCAACAAGCACAAAACACAAGCTCTCTCACTCAGTGGCGCTCCGCAACCCGAGTGGAACGCGATCCTTGCCGGCCAAGGTATCGCACCATGCCACGATCGCTCTTGCCCAACACCTCTTGTCTACCTCGGTTACCCCCTGGCATCGTCAAAACCGCAGCTCAAGTTCTTCCTTGACCAGATGCTGGTGAACATACAACAACACTGCCAGGTGCATCAGCAGCGCGGTCTATCCGTTCGCGGTCGAGCCCTAGTCCTGAACACCTTGATATTATCAAAGCTTTGGCACGTTCTCCGCATAGTTGGCGCCAATGATCATGCTTTCCATGCGAAACTCCGTAGCATTTGTGGCAAGTTCTTAATGCATCGGATGTTCCCGACTGTGGCGTATTCCAAATTATGTTTACCACGATCAGAAGGTGGTATCGGCTTACTCGATCCAATGACTCAACAGAATGCCCTCCAGCTGCGGTGGATTCAACCCATGCTGGAGGAATCGGGTATGTATCCTCAGCATATTCTACTTTTAATCCATCAAATACTCGCCACCGCCAAATTTCCATCAGATCACCGGTTGCTGTTGGCGGACCCACAGGCAAGGAAAATAGGCGCCATCGATTCTTCTTCTCCCGTATCCTTGGTTTACCGCGCTGTGGACAAGTTGGACATGGACTGGGAGGCACTTCGGATCACCAAAGCAACGGCACTACAATTACCTCTGAAAAGTGTTATTGCGACTATCCCCTCAGTGCCCCAACCACGTCGACCTGGATACAACAAACTGCAAGTCCGAGATTTGTTTTATTACGACGCCACACACCAACATTTACTACTACGACAAAGAAATGATCCAGCAACAAGGCCGATCTTGCTTACACGATTTACGCATGACCTTGCTGCCTTTCGCTTCATACTGAAACCATTTTTCGCTCGTTTATGCCTCCCACCACACCATCCTGGTGGTGGCCATCCCACAACACCTGGTGATACCGACTTCACACCATTCAGCCGTCAGCTACTCAATCAGCCTGGAATCACCGACAACAACACCAAACACTATCGTACTGCCATCATCGCCCGACTCCACCCGACGCCACCCTACTCTACAGTAAACTGGCATCTCTTTTGGAAAACGCCTATGGATCATACCACCAGAAACATTTTTTACCGGATTTTCCATGGCACACTGCCCACCGCAAGTCTACTTTACCAACGCACTACCAATTTTTTGCCGAATCGCACCTGCTCTATTTGTCGCCAAGATGAAGACACCCGTGACCATTTTTTGGTGCAATGCCCCCTCAAACGGGCGGTCTGGATAAATGTTTGGCAACACTTCATGCATAGCGATCCGAATCTCGAGTCTACCTTGATCTTTATTACAACATGCAAGAAACCGTATCATCATTTCACTGCCAAGCAACTACTATGCTTTCTCTCATACATTATACTACATATTTGGCGCGCCCATTGGAACCATATCTTTAACAATATCCCTTTTTCTTCTTCACATGTATCCGCAGATGCCATCCATGCGATACAAACTTATATGGACCTTTAAAAAAAAAAAAAAAAAAAAAAAAACAAAAAAAAACCAACACCAAACCCCTTTCTTATATATACCTACTTCTGTATCTGTATCTTTTCGCTCATCAGTGTTTTGCGGCCGCAGGCACATTACTTCTTTTGAACATGTGACTTGTATTTTAATAAAATCTCAGAGGCTATCCACCTCTCATACAAAAAAAAAAAAAAATTAAATCCTGTGAGTTGCTGCCCAAATTGTCTCTATTGATACTTTGATCGTCTCCATGACAACAACTACAGAAGTTAAAAGAGGTGAGAAAAAGAGAAATATTCATCACACAACGCATAAAAAACTAAACTACTTTTCTCTTTCCTTTTATTTTTATTAGTTGTTCGTGCTTATTTGAACGATCATGAGAATCCTAGCGTTGCTGAATTTGTCGCGACGCATGTCGATTTTATCAAACAAAACACACCTTCTGGCAAATTAGCTAACAAAGTTTGGCCAAATATCATTCGTAACGAGGCAGAGCAATTAAGGAAGATTTTAGTGAGTAGTTTTCGGAGACAGATGTACTGTATATGATCTTACAACATACAAGTGATTTTGAATTTTTTAGACCAAAAACAGAGTCAGTTGGAAAGTATTATGCGGTAAGCTTTTGCGTATTCTTGGTCTAGTTTTTTTTGCCTTTTTTTTTCTCATGTTTGCTATTATACTAATACTTATAATGTAACATATGAAATTGCTGCTGCTACTCCTTTCACCACCAACAATATCACAAGTACAGCTTCCACCTCTGATAATCACAACTCTGCTACTTCCAACAACATCGAAATCGACCGTCCTGCACTTACTTCTACTCCCAGCCATAATAATGCGGTTACCACCAGTTCTTCTCCAGCTCCTAATAACATTACTCCTCCTTCCATCAATTCTACCGCATCTTCTTCTTCATTAGGCAAACGATCTCGATCATCCGTAAGTTTGTAGAATAGGCATAGTCTTTATTTTTTCAAAGTATCCAAATTTTCATCTTCTCTTCTGTCAGAGTGCCAAAACCGATTCTTATGAATTGACTCCAGATATGAAAGAAGAATACAAACGAGCATTTGAGGCGTTGGATGATGATAAAAAATGGGTTCTAGACGATGGCACTAAAGTGGAGGATGCAATGTATACATATGGAGCAAATTGTACTCATGAGCAGTAAGGAGATAAGCATACCCTTTGATTCGTTCTATACTCTTGATATTGAGGGCTTCTTGCTAATTAAACTAAAAATATTTAGCCCCGTGCATTCATTTATTCTTGACACGGAAGATAAGTGTTGGAAATCAGTGTTCAATCCATCTCAGCTTCAACAATTAAAGTTAGCCAGCAATAAGCTGTTCTGTGAATATGGAGAAGCATGCAAAAACATGTTTTCCGTATTTTCAAAAGTTATCAAGGATGCCAAGAGTCGTAAGCTGGCTTCAATAGCATCATCGTCATCAACATCATCAGCAGCAGCAACAACAGCAGCAACAGATCCGTCATCTTCGGAGTTGACGTTGACTATCAAAGATGAAGAAGATCTAATTGATGAGCTGTGGGAGAGACTCGCCGAAATCGGTCTCATCAATCCGCGAAAACATTACGATCTATATTGGCTACAAAAAACGATAGACCATTTTCTTAACTTATACCGGTTCAAAGTATTGGAGTGGGTCAAAAATCATGGCTCAGAAATGGACTTTATCAATCGTGTATGGACCATACTAGATCAGGTTTTTGACGATATAAGGGTTGAAACAAGAAGGTAAATTCATTTAATCAGTCGTATCCCCTCAACTAGCATATGTTTTTTTTATTTACAATGTCCATTAATTTATTTGTAGGGACAATGGATCCGTGTCAGCCACCTTCATTGATAACGAAGATCGCGCAGTAGCTGGAATGGCCGCCATTGCAGCCAAGGTGTCTTCTATCAGACCTGATCTTGTGTTATTCCAAAATGGAGTCGAATATGGAGTCGCAGAGTGTGGGAAAGGAGACGATGAAGAGGTTGGAAAGAAAGAGATCGTGGAGACTAGTTTGGATTGTCCAAAAATCATGAAAAGCATGTTTCTGCATGCAGCATTAAAATGTGACAACGACGAGGGTGTGACTCGAGCATTACAAATAGTTGGATTTTGTCATTTTGGTAAGTTATCAGGTTATTTAGATATATTATTTACCTTTTGCTGACAATGTTTTTTTATATCTTTTGTATTTGGGAATAGATCTTCGCATGAAAGTTTTAGTAATGGACAACGCTAATGGCTACGTCTGCAGAATCCGATCAACACCGCAATACGAAATATCAACCATTCCTTCACAAATGTCATCTGGTCTACTTCCTATATTAAAACTAACTCTTAGATCCAAGGTAAATATACATTCTTTGATTATATATGTATAACATAAACTTGATGCTCATCGCACTGTTCTGTTTGATTATAATAGTTGACCATCCAATCGTCTATCAAGGTTGTCAATGATTATTTTACACCTGGAGAAGATAATGACCCCGATTTTCAAGCCAGTATGGATCAAAACAAGACACGTTTAGTACTCCCGCGACTTCAGAAATCACCCAATAAAAAACCAAAGAAATCAGTCTAAAAAGCATACAAGTAATCATCCAACGAATCTTCTAGCACATATGTACCAAGTACCATCATCACCAACATAACAACAGCCACTACCTTTTTACTTATGGCATACCCTCCATTTATATTTTATTTTTACCATATCAAATGTTTTTACCTATATCAAATAGTTTCAATCATATAAACACTTCTCTTGTATACATCATACTACTACATTGCATTTGTTTATTATTTTTATGCCCTTTGCGTGAAAAAAAAGATTGGCTAGTTCCCTGATGTGTTAAGGGTGACCCAATTTTGATCCAATTTCATATGAGCGCTCATTTTCACCTCCTGTGGCCTAATTCAACTTCCAACGCTGTAAAAGTAAAAAGAAACCATCGTCTGGGTTGTTAAGAACATCTATTGGCGTCCTGCTATTAGTTGTCTAACCAATTATAATCTACTAGCTGTAATATAGATAATAAAATTGCTATGATCAGTATAACGATCAGTGGCCGAATTATTTATTTATTTACAATAAAAATAATAAAAATTGAATTTTTTTTATTTATATTGGTAGCCCCCCACGAGAAAAAAAAGAGCAATCGTTAAAAGTACATAACAACAAATAAAAATGAACACAACACAACACATTGAACAACTTGATATTGAAATTAAAAATTTAATTGATAATAAATGGACTTTTCTTGATAAATCTTGGCCTGAAATGCAACATAGATTTAATCATAGAACAGCTATTAAAGATATGAAGAATAATACAATAAATGATATAAAGGATGTATTACTTAATAGATTTGGATTTATACCTGTATTTTATTTTCTTACAGTTTTATATAGAAATATTGAATATCCAGGGCCATATCGTGAGATTGAAAAAGGACTTGCATTATTATATCATATGGTATCAGGTGTATCGGGAAAGGATATGCATACTGTTATGCCATATGCAACATTTTATGATTTATATAAGCGGTTCTGGATTACTAACTATAATGAATTGAATAAAAAGGTAAAACAAGATCTAGATAGTATGTTCTCATCACCACGTATTCGCATTCTATCAGCAATAATAAACAATCCAGATGGTTTTAAGAATGTTACACTATTTATTGATGGGCATGATAGTAAAATAAAGTATTATAAACCAAATGAGTCACATTCACAATTATATTCATATAAATTAAAAGGGCCAGCTGTACGTACACAAGTTATACAGGATATGAATGAAATAATTACACATATTTCAGTATCTGAAAAATGTGCTATCGGAAATGATGGTACTATGTTTATTAATATGAAATTATATAAAAAATAAGTGAGGCAGATTGTTTAGGGATGGATGGTGGATATAATTTATTTATACAAAAGTTCAAAGATAATGCGACCGATGCTGGATATAGTTTTTATGATCGTAATTTTTTACATCCCATAAGAAAAGAACCAGGACAAAAGTTAACAATCAATGAGACATACTTTAATAACAAGTTTGGATCATTTCGTTCAGCAATAGAAGCACAGTTTTCTATGTTAGGCTCTAAATTTGAACGACGTGCAGCATTGCAAATATCTGATATAAGATATTATAATATTCAGTTTCGTGTTGCTTGTATTCTTACTAATATATGGCGATTTGTAAATAAGTATAATATAGAGGTACAACCACATCATAAATTATGGTATGGAAAAGACTTTGAATTCCCAAGTAAGAAAAACAAACTTGACTTGGTATTTTCAAATGAGCAAAAAGTAAATACTGAATATAACGAAATGGTTGACATGCAGCAGAAATTTCTACAGCTTAATATTAATCAATCAATAGATATGGCTATAGATAGTGAGGAAGAAACTGAAAATAATACATCTAAACGCAAGAGAAAAAATCAAAGAGAACAGAGAAATATAGAACATGGTAATTCATATGAAATTGAGAAGATTGTAGGACATGTGTATACTGATAATAAGTACATATTTGAGGTTAAGTGGGTTGGATATAGTGTAAAGGATAATAGTTGGTTAACAGTTGATAAGTTTAATTCCCGGGAAATGCTACATGAATATATGGCCACACATGGTATTCAGCTCTAAGTTAATTTCTTATTTATTTGCTTATTAAAAAACCTCATATTGAAACTGACCGCATCAACCTTTCGTTTACTTGCCCAATTATATTTATGTTTTATGCATTCATTAGTTATACTTGTACTTATATTAGTACCTGTTGATTTGTTTTTGACGTCAGTTTCTTTTGTTATATCTATATCTTCTATTATAGCCTGTTTTATATCCTTATGCTTTTTAAAATATTCTTTTGGTTTTATTTCTTCTACTACTTTCTTGTTTCTCCGTTTATTTTTATTTTGTCTTTTTTTCTTTTTACGTTTTGGTATAGTATTAGGTATATTACAGTCACTGCTTTGCTCTGATTCAGATGTACTGACATCTATATATTTATGTTTCTCTGTGTCTTGTGGTGGGTTTTCCCAATCGATGTTATCAGTTATAACTTCATCACATTTTATATCATTTAATACATCCTCCCAATGTCTACAATCTTCTGGTAGGGGTGCCTTTACAGTTGACCATCCTCTATTATTTTGTTGAGGTGTTTTATGTTGTTTATTGTTCTGTTTATTATTACTATTATGTTTCTTTTCTTGTTCCTTTATATATTCTTCTGTATCAGCTAATTCTTGCAGTTCCTCTACTGTTTTATCCATCGGTGTATATTTTTTAATACCATCCTGACCACTGTTATGTGCATAACGGATAAATGTATGCTGATCTTGGTATTCGTTTTCGAATTCATCTTTGTATAAGTCTTCATACATATCCATGTTTTCATAATACATGAACTTATTTTCATAATCCTTCACCTTCATTGTGTATGGATTCCATATTATATGACCTTTACGGTTCTTATCAACATAGATAATATATAAACGATTGAGCGTTGGTTCTAACTCATATACTGATTTATTTTTGTATAACATGTGCGGCATATAGTTACTATTCAGTATTATTGGCATATTTTTCTTTTTAGTTATTGACTTTGTGAATTTGCCATTAAGTTTTAACCGTGTTCCTTCTAACATTTGATTTAAAAATGTTAATTTGAAATCAGAACCAGTTTCTTCATTATATATAAAGTCATAATCATCATCTTTATAATCTGACCAATCATTTTCTTTACTCATTAGATATGCCCTATGTCCACCTTGTTCTAACATATCAATATTATATGTTTTTCCAACATTTGATGGACCTACGATCCAGTATTGTGGTATCTTATTTTTACCACTAAACATTGTTTCAATACCAAACATAGACCACATATGTAATTTATTTCCAGGGTTATTTTCCATATCTGCATCATGAAAGTAAGAATTTAAATTTGATTTAACAGTATCATATTTCCATAGCAATTCTGGATATATTTCGGTAGCCTTCCGCATATTAAGCTGCTTCGTGATTAATTGATATCCAAGTAACTGTTGGTGCATTTTTCTGGTCTTAACTTCATAATTTGGATCCATATTATAACAAATATAATCTTTTCCTTTCATACAGTAGCTAATAGACTTTTGTGGATTACCACCTGGTTTTATATTTGGAGTAACACCATCGATAGTAAAGAATTTGCGTGCTGTTTTTGTGTCGAACCGCTCATTCATTTGTATCCATATATGAACATGTTTCTCACCAGTTTCTGGTGCAATTTCATCACATACAATTGCCTTTTCGATTCGATAACCAATACGTTCATGTTTTATAAACCATTCCATGATTTGTTCTTTTGTTAAATGGAAGTCCTTACAAATATATGTGAACAGCCCTTTAGTATTTTGGAATCGGAATTCTTTGCCGCCCTGCGAGGAATCTGCACCAGAGGTGTTATTTTCTAACATTGCATCGGAAAATTGAGGATTTGAGGATTTGAGGAATCTCACATATGCTCGAATTCTTCCAATGATTTTATTGCGTGCATTATCTTTAGTTTCTTTATCTACTTTAGCCTGTGTAAGGTCTTTTTCCAGTTCTGACCTCAGTTGTGTGACAAGAGGTTCATAATCAATATGCTGATGGTTCTCAGTAAGGTGTTTTGCTCTTTCAATCAAGAGCGTCAATGTAATTCCTAAAATAGGAACAAATTCAGCCATAATGGCTAAGAAGGCAAGAAGGTTGAGTTGGTTCATTTCGATTGTTGAAGTAATAAAATAAAAAATATAACAAATATGTTTTGCTTTATATTATGCGGTGTTATTTTTATATAATAAAAATAATTCAATTTTTATTTATTCAAAATTTTTAAATATATGCATGCCAAGACATTCATACATGAATTATTCAATAAAAATTAATTTGGCTATCCTGATATATCTTAGCTAATAAGTCATCTAGGGTTACTAGATCGCATTAAAATCATCGTAACCATGGCCGGTCCCCATTATTAAAATAAACTGGTCCCTGGAGGACAGATGCTGACACACAGCAAAGCGGAGGGACCAGTTTATCTTCTATTAAATAGGGAAGGGTGCTTACGATTTCAATCCCAGCGTAAAATCCAGATTTGGAAATTTCACTTTGTAACGGCCATGCTTTTTTAACGTTGCACGTTCCTGGGAGACTTGGGTAAACTTCAATTTTGTGCCGTCTTCCTAGACTATTACCACATTGCATTTCTCAATATGAGCTCCGAAGAGGTGTGCTACTTGATTTCATTTGCCATCAACGACATTTGATGTCTTTCTGTAAAAATCGTTGAGCATTTTGCACCGTTAGCCGGGATTCTGACAGACTGCTCTAGATGAGCTACAAATTTACTAACTATTTTTTTTCTGCACATTTCTCGACAAAGCAGTCGACCGATCATGTCTGTCACTGTGGCTCGGATCGCAATGAGCCATGTCCAGTGCATTCTCGCAGTGTTTTAGTAGAATAGGCAACGCATATTTTAACCATGTGTATTTGAATATTACTGCTGCAGCTGTTTGCTTACAAAGCTACAGATAGTTCGTTTTTGTATAAACTTTTGCGCCTATGTTTTGTATCTGTGGCTCGAGCACCCATCGTAGGCAGTAGGCGTAATCATAGAGAATGCCCACTTAACCCTATCAACTGCGGTACTGTGTACTTACTAATTTTTTGGTGATAATGCAATTTTCGCTGAAGATTACTGACAATCCTCCTCCTACACTTCCTATAGCTACTACCTCGCCACCATCACCTGCACCTATCATCAACAGTTCGCCTCCACCAACTTCTCCTGCTGTCGCTGCCCCACCTTTTACAGCTTCGGGTTTAGAGCGGGGCAGCGCCCTAACGGGAGGGTCAGCGGGAGGGAACGTCCTGCAAATATAATTATCAATGTCATATTAGCAAAAGCATCTAGATCGTAACAAATAATAGAATTTCGGGTCTTTGCTTTGGTAAGTAAGTAGGGCGAGCAAAGCGAGCTTTGTTTGGGGTGTACGGTCACATCTTTAGTAGGTAGAGCGAACAAAGCGTGCTTATTTTAGGGTGTAACAATCACATTTTTAGTAAGTATGATAGAGCGAACACAACGGCCTAGGTATAGGGTGCAACAATCACACCTTTCATGATGTCCCAGAATTTCCACCTCAACAATTGTCCAATACCCGTTTCAAGAGCAAGAGAATTCCACCTCTAAGATTTTGACCTGTAAATTTTACGAAGAAACTGAACACGATCTGTTCAGTTGCGAGGATTGCCCGGGTATTGGACATGAATCGTCTGAGAGTTCGGAGTGCATTAACTCGAGTAGCTGACACAGTAATCAGCTACATAATCTTAATCTGAAAGAGCCTTTAGGCATTTTTAGTGCAGTGACGACAATGACTTCAAGACCAAAATTATAAAAAACACCATTCTCACTCCTGTCAAGCAGAACAAATTTTCAGCATTGTTTGAAGGTAAAAGGGGGGTGGTAGGGGGCATTGCCCCCACCCGGGGTCTGGGGCAGAGCCCCAGTAAACTGGTCCCTGGAGGACAGATGCTGACACGCAGCGAAGCGGAGGGGCTCACATCGTCCGGAAGCGAAGCGGAGGGACCAGTTTATCTTCTATTAAATAGGGAAGGGTGCTTACAACCTCAATCCCAGCTAAAATCCAGATTTGGAAATTTCACTTTGTAATGGCCATGCTTTTTTAACGTTACACGTTCCTGAGAGACATGGGTAAACTTCAACTTTGTGCCGTCTTCCTAGACTATTACCACATTGCATTTCTCAATATGAGTTCCGAAGAGGTGTGCTACTTGATTTCATCTGCCATCAATGACATTTGAGGTCTTTCTGTAAAAATCGTTGAGCATTTTCCACCGTTAGCCGGGATTCTGATAGACTGCTCTAGATGAGCTACAAATTTACTAACTATTTTTTTTTGCACATTTCTCGACAAAGCAGTCGACCGATCATGCCTGTCACTGTGGCTCGGATCGCAATGAGCCATGTCCAGTGCATTCTCGCAGTGTTTCAGTAGAATATGCAACGCATATTTTAACTATGTGTATTTGAATATTACTGCTGCAGCTGTTTGCTTACAAAGCTACAGATAGTTCGTTTTTGTAAAAGCTTTTGCACCTATGTTTTGTATCTGTGGCTCGAGCACCTATCGTAGGCGGTAAGCATAATCATAGAGAATGCCCACTAAACCCTATCAACTGCGGCACTGTATACTTACTAATTTTTTGGTGATAATGCAATTTTGCTGAAAAGATTACAAACAAACCTCCTTCAATACTCGCTATAGCTACTACCTTACCACGATCACCTGTGCCTATGGAAAACAATCTTGTTTGCATTAATTAACCAAATTTTAGCTATTCATTTTATTTTCAAGTAAATCCATATAATTATCAATAATTGCTGTATTATTAAAATCTTCTTGCCAAATCCATTCATTATGTGAATCATCATAATCTTTCCATTTAACATAATATTTCATTTGTTTTTTAAATTTCCTATGTTTTATAATTCTTTCAACTTCGAAACTATCATCATCTGTATAATTATCATTTTCTATATCCATATTATTTATTGGTAATTCATTGCTATGATTATTATTAAAGTAGTTTTGAATAAATGCATCTTGTTGATTAGTCATATCTGTAATTCTTAATATATCAAATTTATATATAATGCTATTTATATTATTATTTCTATTAGGATTAGGATAATCAAAGTTTTCATTAACCTATAACAGATGATTTGGTTTATTAGGTATATTATATAACTGACAAAACTTTTGAATATTTAATAATAGAAGTGATAATTTTAATTGTACTTTATATATTTTTAAATCTGTAACTTTTATAGTACTTTCATTATTATTAAACCTTTTGAATTTATTGCCAAGAAATCCAAAACATGATTCTATTTTACTTCTAAAACTTCCAAAAGTTTCATTGTATAGTAATTCATTATCATTTAAGTCTATATTTTTACTTTTTCTAATAGGAAACATAAAATTATTAAGATTTATTTTATCATTTCCTTTTCTATCGCAATTTTCTATAAATTTTTCAGAATAGTAGTAGGAGGATGTTTATTAGTTGAAGTTTTTCATCTAAACTAAGGTCAATAAAATATTTAAGACTCACAAAAATTCCTCATGTTTACAAAATTATTATAATTTTAAAATTGAATATAAAAAAAATTGAATTTTAATTAAATATAAAAATATATTACAATGGATAACCAACAAATAGATGAAAAGATTAATAATGAAGTTAACAAAATTATTGTTAATAAGTGGGAATTTTTGGAATATAACTGGCCAATTGTTAATTATAATTACAAGCATCGTACAGAATTAAAACATATTAAAGGTATTGATGATATTAAAAAGATTTTAGTAGATAAACTTGGTCATATAGCTGTTTTTTTCTTTTTGGTTGTTTTATATACTAGCTGTGAATATCCTGGCCCGTATTTTGAAGTTGAAAAAGGTTTATTTTTATTATATCATTTAGTTTCTAGTGTTTCTAGTATTGAAATTAATAAGTTTATCCCGCAAACATCATTTCACAAATACTATAAAAAGTTTTGGATGAATGAAGATAACTATAAAAGGTTAAATAAAATTGTTAATGATTCTATGGAGAATATGTTTTCTTCTTTAACTTTAAGAATTTTATCTTCTTATAAATATAATCCACTACTTTTTAAACACATAACTTTTATAATAGATGGTCATGATTCAAGAATTAACTATGTTAATACTGATATAAAACATGAAAGATTATGGTCATATAAATTTAAAAAAAATGGAGTTCGTACACAAATTGTTAGCGATATTAACGATATGATTTTATATGCTTCCAAAAGCGATTATTGTTCTGATAGTTCTGACGGAAGTATGTTTTTGAACATGAAATTATATAAGAAAATATCTAAACAAGATGTATTGGCAACAGATGGTGGTTATACTTTATTTATTAATCAGCTTATAGAACTTGGTATAGAAAAAGGATATAATTTATCTTTAAATAATTTTGTTTATCCTATACGCAAAGAAAAGAATGTAGATTTAACAGCAGAAGAAAGGCATTATAATGATGTTTTTGGTAGCTTCCGTTCAAAAATAGAAGACCAATTTGCTGCAATAGGTAATAAATTTTATAGATTTAATAATAATAAATCTATTGTTAAGATGGACAACATAAAGTTTTCTAATCTTCAATTTCGTGTTGCTTGTTTATTAAAAAATATAAAAATATTTAGTGAAAAGTTTAATATTAATACATAAGCACATCATAAATTGTGGGAATCAGATAATTTTGAATTTCCACACGAAGCTAAATTAATAGATATAGTTATTAGCATTTCATCTGAGGCAAAAAATAAATTAGATGAAATGGTTAAATTACAGGAACAGTTTTTAAATAATTTAAGTATAGATAATACTGATATGATGATTGATAATGAATACAGTGATGAAAATGATAATAATAAAGATGTTTCCAGCGAAGAAGATGTACCTAAATTCAATGAGAAAAAAAGAAAAAGAAAAGGTAAAGGCAAAGGAACATTAATGGATATAAATAAAATTAGAAATAATTCAACTTCTAATATTTCTTATGAAATAGAATCCATAATAAATCATAAATTTGAAAATGACTCCTATATATTCCTAATTAAATGGAAAGGTTATAATGAATCCCAAAATAGCTGGATATCAATGAAAGATTTTAATGAAACCGATATGTTAAATAACTATATGAAAATTAATAAATTAACTTAGATAACTTGATACTCTACCCTTCCTAATAAAATATCATAGTTATTTTATTTTATGTAAGATATATTATTTGAGTGTATATAGTGGATAACCTCGGTTCCTACTATTGTAATAATCCTTTAAGTACATTTGCTAGGTTAAAACTTCCACTGTTGCATATATATATTTTTCTAGATTTTCTTTTTTTTATCCTTTTGTTATTAGTTTTATGTATAAAATCACCATCATTAACAATTATGTATGGTAAATTAGGATTTTCTATTTTTTTTGTAGATTTTTTATTTTTTTTTCTTTGGAACATGAAGTTTACTATGTATAGTACAAAGGTAATCAGGTTTAGGTTTATCTCCATTAAGATTAGTATTAATTTTTCTGTGACACATATGGCCATTTTTCTTACCTCTTTTATGTATGTAAGTGCACACATTATCGCTTGTATTAACATACCAAAAATAATTATCTTTAACTTTATTAATTTCTTCATTAATTTTTTTTTCATAATCATCTTCTTACTTTCAATATCTTTAACTAACATTTCATCTTCAAAATAATTATGCACAACTTGCTCCATTAAATCTTTAATAGAACAAATCATACTATTCTTATTAATAAGTTCAGTATTTAATATAACCATTTGAATTTTTTATGCCAAATATATTGGAGGTATTTATTTTTATATTAAAAAAAAATTCAGTTTTTTTTTTTAAATAAAATTTAACAGTATGCACAATTTCAAAATCTAAGAATAAAAAAATTTGTCAGTTAAGAAAAAATTTAAAGAAAATTTATTAACATCATATCAATGTTTATTCCTCATAGTAACCACCATTAAATGCTATGCAATCATTTTCATTTAATTTATTTTCCAACTTCATATCTAAAAACATTTGCCCATCATTATAATTTCTGCATGGTTTACTATCAGATACATTAACTACAAATTCATTAATATCATATATAACTTGTGTTCGTAAACCTGAATTTTTTGAATTTATATGAATAAAAATTTCTTTTCTTTATATCTTTATCGTTATAATCTATACGACTATCATGACCATCTATAAATAAAGTCATATTTTTAAAGCCTATAGGATTAAGCTTTTTTGCATTTATTATTCTCAAAGTAGTGGTTGAAAACATATTTTCTAATAATTCAGTTATAATTCTATTTAATTCATTCTTATTATTTTCCCAAAATTCTTTATAAATTGCATAAAATGATGTATAAGGAATAAAGTCATTCATATCTCTTATAGATTTACCTGTTATTAAATGATATAATAAACATAAACCTTTTTCCATAAATACATATGGACCTTTATAATCATATTTATTAAAAAATAACTATTAGAAAAAAGAAAATAGGAATGTATCCTAATTTATCTACTAATTCTTGCTTAATTTTCTGTATATTTGTTATATTTTTTATTTCTTCTTTATGCTTATATTCAGATATCTTTATAGGATAATCTTTATCCAAAAATTGCCAGTATTTATGATTTATTTTTGAAAGTTCATTGTTTATACAGTCATTTCAGAAAGTAAAGTCGTTGATTTTGAGTTTGAAGTCGTGCAAAAAAATCTCGTGTCCAACAATGATGTCGACTGGTCCAGTAATGAAGTCGTGTTCGCGTGCGTTTATTGTTAGATGTCGCTTAGTAATTATCCAATAAAATTCTTGGCATTTTCATTTTGTACAACCTAGGAGCGAATCCTCGTTTCCTTTATCACTAATTATCATAATATCGGCATGTTGATTACTGGTATCGTAGCGTCGATGCATTCTTCTAAATATACGCGAAGCATATATTAAATATTGGAAACACTCTCATTCATTCATGTTAATATGATTCAACTTACCAGCATCACCTTGGAAATTTGTTTTTTAGGGAAATTTGGATTTTTTTCCTAGTGTGAAATGCAGAGGCGTTTAAACTCCTACGTCTAAAAAAAAAGGATACTTTTTTTTTGTTTTCTTTGAAATCAGCCCTTTGTTTTGTTTTACGTGATGTCTGCCGAACCATCGATTTTCAAAGCTCAATTGGTTGAAATTGTTAATACATGCTTTGTATGCTCTAAAACATATATAGCGCCACAGAAATTACGCCATCATTTCAAAAAGCACGGAATCAATATTCCCGAACGACCTGTTGGCGTTAGACATTATGACACACCCGATTATTCATTTGTAAAAGCTGATGGCAAACATCCAGATATTCAAAAGCACTTTGGCTGTCTGTCTTGTCCTGCTCATTTTAAACTTTTAAACGATTTAAAAGATCATTTTATCAATGACCATCCCGAATCTATGCCGCCAGCACCGCAACACCAAGAAAGCAATGACGTTCCACCACATTCACCAAAAAAACGAAGTGTGGATGAGATTGTAGACGTTGATGACGTTGACACAGAATTAATGGACCATTCATGTCTATCAATCATACCTCCTTGCGATGATGACCGGCTCATGATTGGTGACTTTGACGTGACCGATGCATTTTATAACTTTCAACAGTCCTTACTGGCTCATAAATGGAAACTCTCTCTGGAGGACCATATCCAATATGCCATGGCGTCCACCTCAATTCTATTCTTGTCTAGAAATCAATATTCTGAAGATTTTCTGCCATTTTTCGATGAACACAACCTAAAGGCTACCATTGACCGTGTTGATACTATCTATGATATCAAGAAACCACGAATGCCTACCAACGTAGTCATGGAAATCATCAAGATCATCGAAGACCTTTTATCTACCGCGACAACAAGAGAAAAGGCTGCTATAAAATTATTCGGATTAGATCTTACCACAAACGAATATAAGTTTGCCAAAGCAATAGCAGAGCTGGTCAAGAAACTACCTCGTGTATCCCTTGCAGAAGAGTCAAATGAAATGGAACTTTGCTCTCGGTATGTCGATCCATTCTTGTGCGGTATATTTGATGAACCCGATGAAGGCGTTTTTTTGCGATGGACGAACGAAACCATATTAGAAGCGAAAAAGCAACAAAGCTTGCTGAGTTGGCGACCCGATATTTGCATCACCAGATTACAAGGCGTCAAATGGAAAGCGAACATTGGTTTTGGGGAGGCAAAACCAGCACATCAAGGCTCTAACCATTACTCGGTCTGTCGAGATCTTTTACGCGTCTCAGTTTTTTGTAAAGACGCCCTGGATACGCAGAAAATGATGGGAACTATGGGTTTACAGATCGTTGGTAGAACAATCACCTTTTATATCTTGGTATTACCTTCAAGTGGTCTATATATTATGCATGAACTTGCCAAAA